CCCCAGTCCCTGGAATTTATTTTTTTAAACTAACAGGCATATAGATGTAAAGGTTAAGCTGAGAATGCACAGTTTTATGGAAACTATTTATAGAATTTGTCCAAAATTTTCTTTAATGATATTATTCAGATGGTGCAGCACTTATTTACACTTCAGTAAAAGAAAATAAAAATATAGACTTAGTATATAAATACATCGTTCAGAAACTATATGGATTTCCTTATAAGATTCCTGCTATTGTTGTGGAAAAGGATGCAGTATTTATGTAAGTATACTGTTAAATGTGTGCATTATTGCTACTACTTGATGAGCCACCATTTTCAGTTTTGAGATGGGACCAGTAGACCTCTCCATGATGAGTAGGTGAGAATCTGTTCCTCGATTATTTATTTATTTCCTGGCCTTAGTTTTATTGCTGGTTGTTTTGAAAGGTCTTTGCCATTTAGCTGAATTTTCTATTAGTATATCTATATTAGTATATCTACTAATTTTTTAATTGATTATGATACATTTTGACCAAATATGTAATCTGACATACTTTTAGAAAGTTAACCTGAATAAAACTGAGAGGTAATAATTATTGCCCTCTCCCCCAGAAAAAAAAAGGGGGGTAAAACTATATAATAACATTTAAACATAAGGAATTTGGTAATCATTTTAAGTAGAAATTAGTGAAATAAAAATTGAACATTATAATAAAAATTAATTAGTTTTCCATATTGGTCAAATTGACTTCATTAAAATACTCCTTTTACATTATTGTGGATTGAATGAAAAAAAATATGTTATAAATGTTTGAGAATTTACATATCCATTTTTTTACAGTCCAGCAGGGTGGGATAATGATAAGAAAATAGGAATATTACATGAAAACTTTCAAACATTGAAAGCAGAAGATAATTTTGAAGACATCATAACTAAACCACCTGTCCGAAAGGTAACAATTTTAGTAAACAGTTTCCATATTTTGGCTTTTAAACTGAGAGGTAGGCCATAACTTTAAGGTTGTAGGTAGAAAAGCAAGAATGTCCTGTACAATCAGGGGAGTTTCAAAGTGTAATTTGTGTGTTTCTAATGTACAGTTTATATAAGGATTTGTTTTAGCAAAGTATGAATCAACTATTCAGTCACTGAATCTTGTTAGCCTTTGGCATATTTATATAAGCAAATATTATTGCTGAATATATTAATATAGTGCTTGGGAAATCAAAGGGTGGCACAGTGAATATGTGGATCTTGAAATAATTTAAATAGCTGGGCGCAGTGGCACATACATGTAATCCCAGCAGCTACCTACACTGAGACAGGAGAATCTGAGTTAAAAGCCAGTTTCAGCAAAAAGAGAGGCACTAAACAACTCAGACCCTGTCTCTAAATAAGATACAAAAAATAGGAGTGGGGATGTGGCTCCGTGGTCGATTGCGCAAGTTCATTCCCTGATACCCACCCCCATAATTTTTTTTTTTTTTAAATAGGTAGAATCTGTGAACTTTACAATCTATAGCTGAGCCAAAAGCCAAGAAAAGGTTGCTAGGATAGTTTTCTTAGTTCTACCTATTGAGACAGATCTCGGATCTTTTCCACAGTTACTAGTTACATTAACCCACAGCTATCCAAGAGTTTCCAGTTTTCTGTATTTTATTTTTGACTACCATGTTATTCTATAGCTGTTAAATCAGGTAATGTTCTTACATATACATCTTGATTTCATGTTAAACAATACATGATAGATACAGATATAGGTGTTTCTTAAAAGTATAAAAAATTAATGTTTACGTATAGTACTTTTCTCCGACTTCCTTTTGATTTAGACATGTATTTTAGAGGAAAATGATTTTGATTCAGTACATATTAGGATTCTTAAAGGAGGGGAGGGAAAGGTGAAATGCTGGTATATAGATTCTGCCTATTTAAATAATGGGGAATGATACTGGCTAAATTATATTGTTATACATCATGTGTATGTATGCATATTTAGCAACAGATCTCACTATCATGTGTAAGT